TTAGGATATGGTAGATCATGAATATAACTAAAATTTCACAATATATTTCAGAAAATAAATCATATGGGGAAAATGAAGTTTCATTAAGATATAAAACAAATCAAGATGAAGATATCATTATATTTGCGTATAAAATGAATACAAAATTAAATAGAACCAAAGTAGCTATGGGGAAAACAGAATGCCTACAACTACTAGGAGCATTACACATTAGCTCAGTCTTTGTGGATAGAAATTAGGGAAGAGTTACCTTTCATATACTTTGACCCTACATCTGCTCTGTGGAATGCCCAAAGAAAATCATCTAATTCGGTAAAAGTTGTCTGTACAAATTTGTTCAGTATAAATTGGAAATTAAAAAAATGTTCAGCAAAAGATGAACTTGTATGAAGCTATTGATCTTTGGACTGAACTGAAAATACAGACAAGCATTATGAAAACACATTGTTTAGAGAAATGTTTAAATGACATTAAGTTTTTAAAAGGAAAGATACAAAATAGTATATGAGCATACATTATTACAATGATAAAAGTATTAGAGTTTAGAAGAATATTTGGAAGGGTATAAGGAAATTTAAATATTACAGATTATTTTTTCTACTATATTAATTAACTCTAATCTTTGCACAATAAAAGCAAATTCATATGACCCAGGCTTTTAAAATTAAAAAAAAAAACTAAGACAGTACAAATATGAAATAAAATACTGCTTGGTGAAAATTTTAAATAAATATTTCTCAAGGGAAGGAATACGGCTAAGAAGTAAGGTAGGTCAGTGTAGCTCAGTGGAAGTGGCCTGGTGTAGCATGCCAAGACCCATCCAAAGCATCACAAGAAGAAAGAAACTGAGCCAGGACCAATGACTCTATTCCAAGGATATGTAGATATTTAAATACTCTGTATGACACACTGAAGTCCACACAGTCTGACCACCTTAAGACTAATTTTAGAAAATAGAAACAGAGTCAAGTGGTTATATGACACATTTGTTTTTCAGCATTAGGGACATCTTCAAACATACACAAAAGTATAGAGATGGCAGATAATAAATTCCATGTAACCACAATACAGCTTTAATTGTGAAGTGCTCATATCTCTCCCAGAGACTCATAAGTGCCTTTCTAAAGTTATTCAAGTCAGGATCCAAATAAGTCCTAAACATTGATTTACTTGAAATTTTTTGTTAATTTAAAAAACTGTACTAATCATATTTCTCATTTTTCTGCCCTTTCCAGATATTAGGTTAAAAAAAAAAAACCAAGTCTTCAATCATGCAGAATTTCTTAAATAATCTCAGTTTAGTTGATAGCATTTCCTTGAGTAATTAACTATCTCTTCTTATTTTCTTTACTTTGATCAGATTTCATTCTTTTTTTTTCTTTTCTTACTGAGTTTATTGGTACTTTTTAAGTATACAGTACAGTTACATTCATCAATAGGACCTTGTACCCTTACACAACAGATTTTGCTTCCCATTTTTTCCCCATACCCCTGCCTTCCCTTCACCCCCTCCACCCTCCCCTATTTACAAATACTTTGTCTCCATTTTTTACTTTTTTCATATTTTTTCTTTTCCCTTATTTCCTTTCTCCTACCCTTCCCACTTCTACACCTTCAGCCCTCAGTTTCATTCTTTTGATACCTACTATTTAGACCCCCAAAGTATCACAGCTAAAGATTCAAAATGTGTGTGTGTGTGTGTGTGTGTGTGTGTGTGTGTGTGTGTGTTCTTTCCTCTTTTGAAGGGACTAAAAAATTTCTCAATGGACATCAACCTGCTCCATCCACTATAAAGCTGACCTTGACATTTTATCAAACAATTTTAGCAGTCACTGCAGAATTGCCTAAATTCATTGTTCATTTCATCACTCCAAAATGGTGGGTTTTTTTTTTTTTTTTTTTAGGCTCAAACTTGGGCTCTTGCGCTTGAGAGGAAGGCAGCGGAACCACTGAGCCAAATCCCCAGCCCATTTTTTTGCGGGTGTGGGAGCGGTTTTGAGACAGGGTCTCACTATGTAGTTGAGGCTGATTTCATTGAGACTGGAACTCACTATGTAGCCCAGGCTGGTGTCGAACACACAGCCTCCCGAGTGCTGGGATTACAGGCATGTGCCACCACACCCAGCCCAAAATAGCAATGTTTTGCCAGAGATTTAGCTGAGTGGTTCGGCTGCCTGCTTTGTAGGTGCAACGGCCCAAGTTCGATCCATAGTACAAAAAAAAACTTACCTGAAAATGGTAATTTTTTGAATTCTATCATTGTGCCTGTATTTATCAGTTGGAATTCTTTCAACAACAAACTTACAATGACCAATTATTTGGTTCCCTCAACATAATTTATTCATAGAAAGCCAAAAAAATTACTGTCTGATTCTTTCCTTTTATTCATCTATTTTGAGAGTAATGAAATATAACTGAAGAAACCTTAAGGATGGGATCCAGCAGTCTAAAATTTGAAAAGCCTGTTGGGTGACTCTGAAGTATACTAAAACCAATCCAGATTTAGACTGTACATTTCCAGCTGCAATCCTGGAATCTGACACTTCTCCAAGAATACCGAGGTTCCCTTAAAGATCACAGTCTGTACCTACTTCCTACCACTGGACTGTCACTTGTAATAACATACTTAGGAAATACACTAAGTAACAGACTAGTTAGTAAAAGGCCTGAGGTCAGATCCTAAGTATCCTAATTATTCTTTAGGGCTCTTTCCATTATCTCTGAAATTCATCCTTGTGTGATTTGTATATGGCTATCAGCTACAATTTATCATAACTTTGATATCATTTACTGAGACGTATCTTGGAAAGGTCAGGCATCCCCTATGTTACTTTTTTATATACACAAAATAAACAGTACATCCCACTTATCACTCAGCTTATATGATCAGTAAATAGAAGATAATATAAGAAAGTACTTGTGGTATTACAATAACTAACATTAGCTTAGAGGAATATCTTTGGTTTACAGAGACAAATGGGCAATAAAAAAAAATTTAAATCAGGCAGAGAGGCAGGACAGGAGAGAAATAACACAGTTAAGGAGCCAACAAAAAGATATGGTTGCTTTATTAAAAAAGAGATTATTTTTTGAAACTAAAAATGTGGCTATAGTTCAAGAAAGGAGTTTGAATTTAAATTCTAGAAGTAAACAACCAACTTCATAAAATATAACTAAGTCAATTCAAATCTATAAACAATGAAGTAATTTCCTACATACATTCTAGCAAAATAGACAGAAACACCAAGTAAAATACTCTACAATAAATGTAAAAAGAAGCTGGGCGTGGTGGCGCGTGCCTGTAATCCCAGCACTTGGGAGGCTGAAGCAGGAGGATTGCTGTGAGTTTGAGACCAGCCTGGGCTACATAGTGAGTTCCAGGTCAGTCTCAACTACACAGTGAGACCCTGTCTCAAAAAAACAAAAAACAAAACAAAACAAAACAAACTGTAAAAAGAAAGGTTAAAAAAAAAGTATAGCAAATATAAAAATATTTATGGTATCTCTCTCAAAAACAAAAAACAAAACAAAACAAAACAAACTGTAAAAAGAAAGGTTAAAAAAAAAGTATAGCAAATATAAAAATATTTATGGTTAAATATATGCTCTCAAAATGGAAACAAAGTAAACAAAAATAAATCCACGTGAGAAAAAACTACTATGGAAAAAGAGACTTGAATTATACTAATAAAACACTGAAAAATTCAAGTTGTGAAAAAATCAGTATCATTCAAAATGAGAGAAAAATATAATTTAACAAAAATTTTTAAAAATTTTTCCACCCACTAGACTTGCATTTTTAAACAAAAAAGAGAGAAAAGAAGACAAAATTGTCAGTATTAACAATTTTTGACAAGGGCGAGAAAAACCTAATATGGTGCCTTTTTTTTTTAATAAAGCTGATACATTTGAGGAAATGCACTTTTTCTGAAGAATATTATCAGTAAAAGTTATATAAAAGAGGAATGAAAAATGAGATTAAACAGTGGAGTGTTTTTAGAATGAACTTGATGTAAAACCTAAAAATAGTTTCTGTATAATAACTTCACGATATTTTTCCAGTCAAGATTGTACAATTATGCAATTGAGGAACAAACACTGGACCATACTAAACCAGAACTTGAAAAGACAGAAAGACAAAGTGGCAGTGGCTTAGCTGTCTGTCTTAGCTTGAGTTTCAGAGGACTGCAGCAAGATTATGACATTTTATAAGACTTACCCCTTACTTTGAAATATTACAGCCAACAAAAAGAGGAGAGGCAGCAGATCCAACAAGCCATACCGTAGTTAAAATCATAGTGAAGCCAATTAAAAAGTTGTGTGAGTCTGGGCAACTAAGTCAGTATCTTTGAGTCTACTTCCCCATGTGCAAAATGTACACAATACCACCTACTTTCACTGTTTTTTAATGACAAGGTTAGAAAGATAATGAAAAAAAAGACTACAGTCTTGTTTAAATACTAGGAACATAATTGGCATTTATCATTTGGTTGCTGCTACCATTGTTACGTAGCTCGATTTAGTTTATCTGTGAATAATTAGGTTTAGGTTTCATTCCTTGCAGGTGAAAAATAATGTCGTACACCATTATGAAATATTCTTTCTGAATTTAAAATTTAAAAAGAAGAAAATATAGAGGGAGGAAGAATAGAATTGAGGGAGAATGACAGATTAAAAACCAGGATTAGTAATGCACTTTAATAATTAGAATAGGCAAAGGGTTACAATGACAACTCTAAAATATAATATAAGCCACCTGTTAAACCGACAGAGAACTGACCAATCAAATGAGAACTGGAAGCAAGATGAATTTTCTCCTAAAATGAGGTATCTTCACAAAGCTGTGGAATAAAACTTGTCTTTTCTATTTAAAGCCATTCCTTTATTATTAAACAGTTGATCTGAGAGGAAGGCAGCAAGCAGAAAAAGAAACAATAGGAGGATAAAGATGAAAAGAAAATATGTGATTAAGGACCCTTTCACTCTCCATGTGCTCTGACCTGCAGTTGCTGGGAGCTGTCATTGAGGTTGTCTTCCCTTCGTCTGGCCTCCTCTAGCATCTGTGCACTCTTCTTCTTTTCCACTTGTTCCTTATGCTTCAAATTTGCTACTTTTTTATTCTGGTCTTTCACTTGCCTATTGATACAAGAAGAAAAATCAAGCTCTTCATATATGTGTACAGGAAAGAATATGTTTACAGACAATACCAGTGACAACAAGAAATATCTGGAAACCAACAAAGAATTCCTGGAGCAAAAATTTTTTCAAAAATTCCAAATTCTTTCCTATGGAGGTAGTAAACTGTTTTTTGGTACATAGTTCTGAAGCACAATAAAATTATAGTTTTGAAATCACAAAAAAAGAAACCAAATCAAACATTTATGTTGGAAATAATGGAAACAATCTTCTAACATCAGTGCACTGAAACATTAGTATGGCTGATTAAGAGAGGTTCTGAAATAAAACCCCAATTTTGCCATTATTAAATATTTCAAACATTTACAGGCTATTACGGGACAATTAGCAACATGAAATAGGAAGAAAAGGACCAAAGGTGTAGGGACAGTGAGAAGGACAGGGAAAGGGGAATAAGGGAAAAGGAAAAAAAATATGAGAAAATGTAAAAATGGAATTAAAATGTTTGAAGGTGGGGAGGGGAGGAGGGGGGGAAGGGAGGGTG